AAAGGTGAAGAGTGCACTTCATGCTGATTCCAGGCCCAATCAAAAGGCACGCCCTCACTACTTCCAGGCCCCAGTCGAAGGAAGCAGAAAGGCAGATTGCATCTCATACTGATTCCAGGCCCAATCGAAAGGCACACCTTCACTACTTCCAGGCCAAATCGAAGGGAGCCAGAGAAGCAGAATCGAAGGGTTTTGCTGCCCAAATCGAAAATCCCATTTTCCTTTCTTTATTTTATTTTTTCTTTATATTTTCTTGCTATTCAATATGGTTGTAATAGTGTAGGATTTATTTTTCTGCATTTTTATTGCTTTTGTACAAATGTTAGTAATTAGAATGTATGGCAAGATAAAAACCAACAAGTAGACAACCCAAAAATCAAAGACAAAATTCATGCAAATCAAACACACTATTCACACATGCACCTATAGGGTAATCTTACTTGTTGCCTCAGAAAAATAGTCATGTCCCTCGAATATGGGCGTTTTAGCAAAGACCCTTGATAAAATATCGTAGTCCCTCGATGGCCATCACTGTTACCTTCGGTAAACGATCTAGTCCCTAGACGACATTGCTAAAACGTCCCATAGGTTGCCTTCTGTGACTAAATAAACGTCCCACGCTCGTACCTTCACATCCAACGATGGAGCTTCTTACCAAATCAATGGTAAGATATCAACATCTAAAGGAGGAGGAAAAGAACATTAATACCTTTTGAGTAGGTAGGATGCTCCTAGTTGCTCGCTTGCTCACAACAAAAACATTTTATACACCAACACTTTCATTTTGAAACATTTTCAAAAGACAAAGCTTTTTGCACGCGTTCTTATAGAAACGAGAACCATTACAAAGACACTTTTCAAAATCATTTTCAAAAAACACATTCCACAAATACCTCTTTGAACTATTTTCAAAACTAACACTTTGTACGCATTCTTATAGAAACGAGAACCATTACAAAGACCTTTTCAAAATACTTTCAAAACCCACACCACAAGCACATTTTCAAACAAAAGCAAGTGATCTAGCAAGCAACTAAGAGCCCGTAGATAACTATAGATGAAAAGAGTGTTAATACCTTCCCTTTTCATAACCTACCACCCCGAACTCAATAAAATAATCTCGAAAGGCCTTTCCTGTTCTTTTCAACCTTTCCTTTTGGATAAAAGAAAAATTGGTGGCGACTCCTCCTACCCGCAACAATTGCGATCAAACGCAAAACACCCAAGTCAGTTCTTCCACCTTGTTACATAGAGCTTTTGGCGGGTAAGCTCATGGATCGAACAAATATTTTATCAGCTAATTTCAATAATCGGATAGAGATTTTATTAGGACAATCTCAATAACAAAGCAGGGATTTTACCATGACAAACACAAGAACCGGAAATATCATATAATATAATCGAACTTTTGATGAAGAATACTTAAACATGAACACCAGTACAATAAAAAACTCTTAAAAATATTTTTCACTCACAAGACATTAAGGCGTCTTTAGGCAAAGAATATAAGAAGAAGAGAAGGGAGAAAATAAGAATAAAAAAATGGTTCATGGGCTTGTTAGTGCTCAAAAAATAAAACAAATCCGGGTGTGATTTGAAATAAGGAGAGGTCTCTTTTATATAGGAAATAATATAGCTCAAAAATAAAAACAGTCAATAACTTTTTTAATGCTCGTAATCGATTATGTGTTAGGTCTAATTGATTATGTAGACCAAATATGAAACATTTTCAAATTTGTCGTCTCTAATCAATTATAAGCTCTCTTAAACAATTGGGAGAAGCTACAAAAGAGATCATTGATTAACCCTAGTGTGCTAATCCATTAAGCCTATTGTGAATAACACTCCTAAAGGTTTATTCAAGATAGTAACCAACTAGTTACTTATGTAAAATATTTTCAGGTGATTTTTTAAAAGCAGAGAGGCTTCAGAAACATTTTTGTGTGCGCGAGTATTTTTAGTATATTAGGAGATACTCTTACTTTAACAATACATCGATCACCCAGATACAGAATCAGACATATTTTCACATTTTCCCTTTTTCACGCCCTTGAAGCTTCAAATGACATGCTAGATTCACCATTGATTCAACACTTCATTTGAGACTTTACTTCTTCTATCTGATGAGTCTTGATATAATTTCTTTAATATATTCCATCATTAGAGGTTGTTTGATCAGAGATCCTCAAGAATTCTACCAAATGTGCTTGATATTAGGTGTTGTCCACATTAAAACCACTAAAGATCATCTACTACTAAATCATCTACATATAACTATACTTGCAAGCACATAGCTCCACATCTTCCATCTTAGTGTTTCTCACTAAACACTTGTGATTTTAATTAGAAGAGATTTGGTCAAATCGGGAGAGATCTAATTAAATCATGAGAGATTTGATTGTGAAAATTTACATAATTCAAAAGTCAATTTTCACATACAACGCCATTATTCCATAATAGAACCAGAATTATTAATGTAGTAATGTAAGCTACTTAAGTGCGGTTGCACTTGTTCCATAATAGAACCAGAATTACTGATGTAGTGATATAAGTTACTTAACTGTGGTTACAGAGAGTCGACGGAGTAGACCTGAACGATTAACATCTCAATGCTCAAATCGGTCCATAAATAAAAGGATAAGATAAATTACGACTAGAATCACACCTTTTTTTTTCCGGATCATGTTGTGATTTATATACAAAGGTGACAATTGAGCCTATGACTATTGGGTCTATGATCGGCACCGAGCATAAATATTTTTACAAGCATAAAAATTAATTAAATTATAAAAATTCTATTAAATCTTGTCTTTTTTTGCAAAAAGAAAACTTTTCATTTCCTGACCTTGATTTCCTCTCACTACTTGTCTTAACCAAACAAACCACTAGAAAATCTGCGGCGGCGAGAGATGCAGTAGAAGGCGGTATCACAAAAAAACCGACCTCCTCTTACGGCCGGCCGGCCACCACCAGCTCATTCCTCAGCACGTTCTTGATTTCATATCCGGTACGCTTTTATTCCATCTGCTTCTTCATTTCTTCTCGATCCAATTCAACCATCTCTTTAATCTCTCACTAATCGATTATTTCAACCGTTAATTCAATTTCTGAATCAAATCATCTTCCACTAGGTTAATCAATTTATCAGCATAAAATGGTGAAAGCATACAAACAAGAACACGTCTATAAGCATCCATGGGAACGAGTAACTTCAGCATCATGGCGAAAATTCACCGATCCAGAAAACAAACGCGTTCTATCACACATTCTAGATGTAAACACGTTGAGCACAAGCCTCGATTCATCCTCCGGGAAGCTTTACGCGACGCGCGCGATAACGGTCCGTTGTCCGTGGCTAGTCCGGAGAATTATCGGAGAAGATATCTGTCACTGCGTTGAATCAACGGTCGTCGATGCGAAATCGCGTTCGATGATGCTTAGTTATAGGAATATTAGTATGGAGAAGTTTATTGAAGTGGAGGAGAATACTCGGTATGATCCGCATCCGGATAATCCGAATGGATGGACTGTTTGTAAGCAGGAGACGCGGATTCGGATTAAGCCGTTGTCGGCTTTGGCTTCTATGGCGGAGAAAGTTGAGCAGAGGTGTGCTGATAGGTTTCTTCAGAATAGTGCTAAGAGTAGGGATGTTATGGAGAGGATTTGCAACTATCTTGAGGCTGAGTCTAGTTCTTTTTCTGTGTGATTCTAAAGCATTGATTGATTGTTGTTTAAGAATTTGTTTTAATGTGTACTAAGCTGGAGGTAGAAGTGATTATCTGTAATGGATTATTTGGTATTCTATTGGGAAAAAAAGTTCAATATAGATTAAAGATAAGAGGTGATTTGAATTTATAAAGAATGATGTTTTTCATTTTGAAAGTGTATGAATAAGTGGAGTTTGATATAAAAGTTATTATCATGTTCTTAAAAGGAGAAACTTGTGTTAATCTGTTTTTTTTAATATTCTTGGCAATGGATGTTGGTTTATTTTCCATGTTAACACTTACTATTGACAGTGTGTGTAGAGTGGAAATGAATTTATAGTTAGATTACTGAGTGTGTGTTTGATTATGGTGGTGAAAATTGATTTTGATTACTAGTTGTTTACTTGATAGAAACTAACTTCCATTTGATTTGGTAGCTTTTGGGCCATCTAGGATAGTATCTATTTTATCTGTATTTTTTAAAGCGAACTAAATTTTAGATATTTATAGGTATACGTTCTCTAAATGACTGTTGTGTTTCATCCTTTTTTTTTTGTGATTTTTGTGCGAACAAACATTAATGTTGATTTTTGTGCGAACAAACATTAATGTAAATTTTTGAATTTTTTAGTTTTAAAAATATAGTGTCCCTGTCTGCGGGCCTGTCCATCCCTTCATGTTTTATGGAATAGACTAAAATTTTAGATTTGTATCCTCAATAATATTTGCATGTCACCTTTGAGAAAGATTTGATAGCATAATTTGCCCATTTTCTTTAGTACTAGTATTATCCTATAAAATTGACCCAAAAGTAGGGCAGAGATATTCGGTGTCTTTATGGCGCGGAAGACACCCTGCCTTTAATTGATAATGGCAAATTTTGTATGATAAAAAAATAAAAATGAAAAGTAAATATGATAAAAGAGAGAATTTGGAAGAGAGACACACAAAGGTAAACAGTCTTTGCTGCCATAAAGATCGCTAAATCCTTGTAACCCTTGACTCAACTCAACTCAGTTGGCCTTTATTGAAAAGTCTCAATTATTAAGTTTTTTGTCATATTTTTCTTCATGGTTTCTTGAGAATTTTTAAGGTATGTGTGTGATAAACAATTCCATTAAGTGTTTACTAGGTATAGTTAATATAAATTATCTCTACAGCTAGAGGGAATAAATATAAAATTCATATTTTATATAAGAATAGATAATATTTTCAAAATACACAATTGAAGTAATATATGTTAATACTCTCTTTTTCAAAATATCTGATTTATTTGTAAGTAAACCTCTACTAATGAAAAACTCTTTTATTGGCCCTATTTTTCTTTCCCCTGCGTTTCACTTGATCGATTTTGCTTTTGAAATCAGCAACAATAACTTCTTTACAACAGTGTTTAGAAATACTGAGGCCAAGCAATTCCAAAACATTGCTAACAAGGGAAATTCTGTGATAGCGATAAAAACCATAATCATATACAATCTACTCATGTCTATGGATCCTTCATGAATCAACTGTCAATTGCACATACCATTTTGACATGTACTATTACAGAGATATATAGATAGGGAACAAAATAAAAGCCTTATAATGCTTACACCACCAACTTCCACCAAACTAGCAGAGATTTAAAGACTTAAAAAACACTGGGGCATATATTTTCGCCAATCACATGAAATATGCAGTCTCTCTCAAACTGCAGAGATAATACTCCAAGTCCCCCATCACATATAAAAATATAATAACAACATCAATAAAATATGCAGGAAACTCGGATCATCCCATGATGACAAAGAGCATAACAGCAGCTCGAGACATGAAACTTTTAAGACACCAAATCTATATCTTGTCAAGCTTCTCAGCTTTGACAACCGGGTTTGCTTTGGCTATCGCATCCCGTCCGGCAGTGCGGTAATCAAATGGACAATCATGCTTGTCTGAGTAGCGATGTACAGCACAGAAAAGGTTACCACATCGACAATTAAATCCTGTTAAGCCAACCCGCTTATTGCAGTTGGTGCACCGTTTAGGACCATCCTTGGGCTTCTTTTCCAGATTCTCCTCTGAGCCGGAAGCAACTAATGGTTGTGCAGAGATGGTTTTGGGCTCCACTGAATCAACTGAGATTTCCACATTGGCGGCAATAGCAGGTTCAACTCCACTGCTGCTTGATGAACCATTCATAATGTTGCCGATGGAAGATGCTGCAAGTGTGGCCTGCTCCTGTTTCAGCATCATGTCTTTGTGGCACTTGGAACACATGTTCATGGTAGCTGCACTTCCGAAAAACCCACAGTTGTTGACGCAGAGCATAGGACCTTCGGGGGCTGCTTCGCATCCAGTCTGGTCATGGTCCATCTTTTTTCAACTTTTCTGCACCACAGAAACTTAAGTACTAAACCATCTAAACATAAATAGGTCACGAAATTAATTACAAATGTCTTTTTGAGCACATAAAGGTCCAATTACGCATATTAGCCACTTAAATTATATAGCATAATCCATTTCCCCATAAGTATCTATGAATGGGCCAAATGAAGCTTGGGTCAAAACATGAGCTCTTGAACAAGGAAAGAACAGATAAATTGTGTTTTGATTCAGCATGCCTATACAAAAAAGGCTAACGTACACAGATAACTCCCACTTTCTGGAGTCAAAAGTTGATTATAGAGAAGTGCACATACACAGATAACTCCCAGTTCCTGGAGTCAAAACTTGATTCTAGAGAAAGCGCACACACACAAAACAATATAGAAACGAAACTCTTTCATGTTGAATTCATAAAAGAACACATAAAAAAGCACAAGTGTGATCAATCAACTACAACACCTCAAATAAACAAGACGGAGAAATTAGTTAGGAGAATAATATCCAGTGAACTTTTCATAAACTAATACAGAGCTCCTTCCTTCAGCAAAAATATATCAACCTTATACAATAAGTGGGTGTTTGCTAACTGAATCAAACTCATCAAACAACGCATTAGGAAGCAAAAAGACGCAATACACAGTTATTGAAATCAATGACCACTATAAAACATGCCGAAAATGTTATTGGTAACAGAAAACATGCCGAAGATGTTATTGATAACAGAAAACAGCGAAGTATCCTCATACTTTTGGTTCATCATTTAGATCACAACCCTCATCAGATCATATAAAATAAAAGATCATTCTTACAACCGTCAGAACCTTATTATACCAAACAACATTAAAGTCAAAATCATTTGAAAAAAAATTAATTTCAACAAAAGAAAGAAAAAAACATCATAAAAACATGCCATTTACCAGTTGAATAACATGAAAGAAAAAGCTTGATCAAAACCTCGAAACACAAACACAGAAAAAAAAAAACAATAACAAGTCCTAATAAAATTGAACTTTTAATCATCAGTAGCAGAAATCAGACAATAAAAGCCATGTCAATATGCTGCAAATATGTTATTGAGTCCCACCACCGAAATTTTAAAAAATTTATCACAAAATCAAAATCAATAAGGTAACACCAACGTAAATCTGCATGTATATTCAAAAATCCCCAATTTTCCCCTCAACCTCAAAACTCAAAATCCTTAAAATATTAATTCAAAAAATAAAACTTTCAAATTTTTTTGAAAAAAAAAACGAAAATTTCAGGAAACGAAAGCTTCATGCCGATCTACAAGATCAGAATCGCATACCTCAGATAATAATCATGTATTCACCAAATTGAAAATAAAAAGGAACAGAGAAAAAAAACAAAAATGAATGACTAAATAAAATAATCAAACAAGAAAGGAAAATCAACGATTAAAGCAACAATAAACAAGCTGATAAGAATTTGAAACGGAAGAACATAAGAAAAATGGAACCCTGACCTGATAGATTTGGGATCGACGAGGAGAGAGAAAGCGAATCGGAGAAGGAGAAGAGGAGAGAGAAAGAAATTGAAATAAGTGTTGTTTCAGTGTTTGTTTCTGTTTCTCTCTCTTTCTCTCTTTCTCTCTCTCCGTTTGAAAAAGTTTCTTTCTCTTTGTGTTGCCAACGAACGTTGTTTACTGATTGGGGGCGACGTGGGTAATCGTTATTGGGGGTGGGTTTTGTGTTGGGTTTACGATTTTGTCCTTTTTGGAATTCGAGATTAGCGGTTTTGCTAAGGTGGAAATGTTTGTGGGGAGTGGGTAGGATGGTCTACCTAAATCATTTATTGTGTGATTGTTACGTTAAATTTGGTTTAGTGGAGGATTTGGTGAGGGATGAAAATTGAAATGAATGAAACTATGTTCTTTTGTTTTTATTCCAAAAAGAAAAATAAGTACAAGAAAAAAACTCTAGTAAGGGGTAAGGTTCATCATGTGAAAACATATGTAACTTTAATTTTGAAAGAAAATACACAAAATATTTTAAATATTAGTCGAATACGGCGAGTAACCAAACTAAATTTTAATAGAACTTTATGTAGGTAAATAGATAATAGTTGAGATTAGGTACAGTTGAATATAAGATAGATAAATTTATATATAATTCTAAAAATCAAGTATTGAATTAATCAAAGTCGTGTTAAACTTGATTATTCAGTCATGTTTAGAGTGGATTTCTTTTCAAAATAATTATGTTTTGATTAAAAAATTAAATAATAATATTTTTTCATTAATTTTTAAATTATTTATATTTTAAATAAAAAATTACAATGTATAACACAAGTCAACTAAATGACGCGTACATCGGACAAATTAGAAGGTAAATCAATTGAATTGGTGTACTCAATAGGTCAATTCAATGTAATTGAAGCCTATGTATTAGTGTAAGCAGGGGGCAATTATTTCAATGTGTGGCATTTTTTTTTAAATATTATATTTTAATAGGTACTATCATTTATTATAAATAGTGGTATGTCTTCTACCATTTCTTTTACGAATCTTCTCATTTTCTTCTTAATTTATTATTCACTTATTCTAACATTAGTAGTAAAAGAGATGAGCGTGTTTGTTTTTCAAGAATCAAACCCTCGGTGAAGATGTGTTATTGGAACACCCGAAGTTTCGAACAACTTGACAAGACCTTGATCATTTGGTTAGGCGGAGAGATTAATGATGGTGAAAGAATTAGAAGTATTGAGAGATTTGATTCATACATTTCTATGTGGTTGCTAGTTAAAAATGACAGTGAAATTAGGCATATGATATATACACCATATGATATTATTTTGATTGTTGTATGCTCTTAGATATATTGTGGTGTTAAGCCTTTTTGTTATTTGGTTGTGTGATTGTTTTATGTGTGTTTAGGTTTATTTTGTTGCAACCAAAATTCATTATCTATATTAAATTCCAAAGTTATAAAAAATTTAACAACATAATAAATTATCATTTGCATTCTCCCGAAGCTTATCCAATTCCTTCTCAGTATCATGATTTTCCTGCTCAAGGGCTTCACACCTCTCTCTCAGTTCATCTTGTTCCCTTGAATGCTCGTGAGACCCCAGAACATCGTCATGGCCAACAACTACAATAGAAATAAAGGACTTGACCCTGAACAAAGTACAAGAAGCATCTGCAAAAAAGCTCTGCATGTCAGTCACAGATAAACCTCAGACAAAATCTAGGTATTCATCAATCACGACAACAGCAAACCTCTATAGGGTTCTAGGCATCTGAGAGGGAAGAATAGTATGAAGCTAGAAGAAATGAGTAAGAACATCCTGCTCGCCACCCTTCTCCAAGCGAGCCCGTTTGGGAGAACCTCCTTCGACAAGAGTAGAAAGACTATTACCCTGACCCTTCTTCACAGGGAAAGAAGAATGTAATGGTTCCTTAATAGAAAAATCAACTACGATAATAGTCGATTGACCCATTTCATGAGTAAGAACCATGATAGTAGTTTTGACTACCTCTAGGGCAATCACTTCGAGTGTAATATCCTTATCTTAGATGTTTTGAATGATGTCAAAATTAAGTAATGTGTAGTGTTTGTACATTGGACATTATCCCTTTATGTTTAGGTTAAATTTTCATATTAGGAAACTTAGGGATTATGTCAAAATCTATTGGGAGGTCAAACACTTCAAAAATATGCATTTTGGTTCAAAATTAGGTTCTGAGTCCACTCCCCCGTGTTAGGAGTCGACTCCATCTAAAGCTTTTTCAAAAATGACCTTTCTGTTAAAAATTGGCCGACTCCTTAGCCATTTGGATTTGATACATTACACAAAAGAGTCGACTACCAAGTGTATGTCTCGACTCCTACTGATCAAATTGTCCAAATTTATCATTTTGCAACCTTATTTTCTTTATTTCATTCATTCACACACTTACACCTATATATAATCATTGATGCATCATTTCTAACATACGAAACCCCAAATATACAAGGCAATTTCTCATCATCTTCATCCTCTATATGCATACACATGAACAAAATTACACATCATTTTTATTCGGGTGCCATCTAAAGATAGCTTGATAACATCCAATTAGGGTTCATTGTAAACGATTGGGTTGAGAATTCTTTTAGGGTTTCAAATAAGAAAATCAAGGTAGGGTTTTCCTTCAAGGTGAATTGGTGATTTGAAGGTTTTAGACAAGATTATGCAATTTGGGTTCATCTGAGTGAAAGATTCAAAGAACAAAGGGTTCGATCAAAGGAGTAGCGTGAGACGTAGGATCAAATTGGTAAATCATGGATCACGATACATTCGCAATTTGGATTCAGTCGAGTGAAGTCATTGAAGAACGGGGGTTCTTGCAAAGGAGTAGCGTGAGACAGAGGATTAAATTAGAAGTACCGGGTTCACTTGATTGATCTCAAGATCAAGGAGGAGAAAAAGATAGAATCAACAACATACTTAGGGTTTTGCTTGTTGGATTCCTACTTGTTCTCTTGTATCAACATTTTGCAAAAGTTAATTTTCATTATCTCAATTCTGAACAAAATTGGGGGCAGAAGTACCCATAGCAAGGCCGATTGGGGACTGCCTAAACAAATCTTTGCGTCGCTCTCTTTCTCTCTTATTCTTTATTTTATGTTTTACTGCAAATTATGAAAACTTCAATTATGAAATCAATACATCGAGATAATCTATTAGGTTAATACCATTAATTGTTTTGTTGATTTGATTACAATCCTTGTGATTGTAATTGATTTCTAACATCAACAAAAATCTAGTTTGTATCAATTACACTCCAAGTGTTCGACAAATTGCCTTAGTTAATTTTTGTCGATTATTTAATTAGAAATTAATTTATATAGTGTAGTTTATTCAAAGTTAGTTTTCTGGAAATATATTGGTTTTTTCATATCATATGTAAACTAGTTCCATTGGTTTAACGCATATTCGATCTTTTCAATAACGATTCGGATAGACAATTGGTGTTCTGTGTTTGTCTTTGCGCGCCATAGTTTAAAAAAATTTATAACATAACTTTATATATCATAGCCTATCGTCTAACAATCACCACAGTAGGAATCCGAGCCTCTGGAATAGAAATAGAAGAAGCAATAGGTGTTGTTATCACAGGGACAAAAAAACAAGTTTTAAGGCTCTGACCATTTGCGAGCACCAGAGCTTTTTGCAATTGACTCAAATGATTCATGTTATCTGTAAAAGCACAATTTGCATGGTAAAAAAAGGGCGCCCGAATCCCCATGTTCACCAAAGAGTTTTTGTCTCTCAACTGTTCAGACACACTAATCATCGCCAAAGTATTTATTCACCTTTTATTTTGCCGAAAGGAAAGTACTTCACCAGTGTCGATGACACTTATTGTTGATGTCATAGGATTTTCTGATACCAGACATGTAGGTCCTCTTTCATCTTCACTTCCTTGGGAGATAAAGAAGTTATCCATGAGTGATAAAAAGGGATAGGTCAATATTTCTGAAAAAACACCTTTGCAAGAGTGAGTGCCCCCCCCCCTCCTAAAGCCAAAGACGAACAGAAAGTCATGTGCGCCTCAGAAGTGATGGGTTTAACTAATACGAAACGCTCAAAAAACTCACCCCAGTTAGAGGAGAAAGAGTCGAACAAAGTTAGTTGGGAAATAAGGGATATCAATCCTTTATCTCGGGCATCATCTAGTGAAGTACGAGCTACAAAAACAAGATCAAAGGAGAGCCCTAATGAATTTTTCCAACACTTGTACCCAACACAAAGTTGGAATATCGTCATGAAAGCTCAAGCCCTGGGATTGTACTATTGTACGATGTTGTCTACCACTCTCACTGACTGTTACACAAGAAGATAGATGGAAATTCAGTATTCCTATTCTACCCTCTAATGACTTTTTTTACTATAAAAGGAAGACTTGGAAGAATTGGAAAAGAAGAACTTTACGCTGAAGAATTTTGCTGAAGCGCTGCTCAAATTTCTATTGAAATGTCTTGTGTAAATTTTTGTAAAACAAGGAACTTTTGTCATTAACTTGCAAGCAAGGAGCTTTGTTCATTCAACTTGCTATTAATATTGTTGTGTTATTTGTTTGTATTTCAACTTGTGTAATTTGATTTCTAAGAAGCATCCTCGAAAACACACTTTATATTTCAACCTTGGAGTTGATAGTTCCTAGAGAGACTATGGTATAGTCATAATTTCTCAAGAAGACATTGACAGTTAGTCTTTGTGCTTTGTAAACATTGACGGGTAGTCTTTGTTTGTGTCTATACTCAGTTCAGTTATAATGGATCAAGTCCTTGTTGAGAAAGTCAAATCACCTTGGTGGATGGACTGGATTAACTTTGTTAACAGTGAACCAGAATAAAAATAATTATGTTAATTTGTGTTTGTTCTTGTTCCATCCTTGTTTGTTTAGGAAGTCAAAAAGTTTTTTAAATATGGAAACCCAATTCAAGCCCCCTTTCTTACGTTTGTCGTACCTTCAATTTACATCAGATCTCCAGTTCTGGTATTGATCATTATTAAACATTTATCAATTTCAGATAAAGATCCAGATTTTTTTGTGAAACACTATGGCGGAAATCGGTCCACCACCAGTTGCACCCGCTACAAATGAAAGAGATCATTATAATGTTAAACTTACAACATTTGATGGAGAAAGATTTGATTACTAGAAAGACAAAATAGAAAGTTTCTTTCTTGGTCACAATGTTGATCTATGGATATGGTAGTCAATGGCTACAAACATCCTATTGATACTAGTGGAATCAAGATATAAAGAAGAGTTATGAATGACCAACAGAACGAATACTATAAGAATCATCACAAAACGAGAACTATTTTGCTGAATATTATTTCTTAGATTGAGTATGAAAGTATAACAAATAGAGACACTACAGAGTCTATATTTGATTCTTTGAGAATGACTCATGAAGGAAATGCCCAAGTTAAATAGACTAAGGTGCTTGCCTTGATTCAAAAGTATGAATAATTCAAGATGGAAGATTAAAAAGGTAAGGAGCTTCAGAGAAAATACAAGGAACTTAAAAGGTCCATGAATATGTTTCTGAAGAACACAGTAAACTTAAGAAATAATTCTCCATCTTGAATAAAGAAAATTGTATTCTTAAGAATTATAATTATGCCCTCAAAATCAAGAGTTCTAAACTTGAGAAGGAAATTATTTCAGAAGCTTCTGTGAGTATTGATGATGTCATAGATAAGTATGACAAATATTTCTAGAAGTTTCTTGCTAGAATACTAGATAGAAGCATTATGATCTATGGTATTAGCAGAAACAGAACTAGAGGAATTGGTTATGGTTCTGATCAAGAATCTAAAGAAAATTAAAAATCAAATACTCTAAAGTCTCATTTGTATTTGCTGATTCCGTGCCAAAAGAAAATTCTATTTCAAAAACTAAGGCAAAACGAAAGGCTACTCTTCAATGTTTTCATTGTTCATATAAATATGTTTATCCTGCTCAAAAACCCAAAGTTGTCAACAACTCTGGGAGTACTAACAAGAAGTACCCAAAAGAATGTGGGTACCTAAAGATACGATAATATATGTTGCAGATATCCTTTGCAACAAAGTTGAAACACCAGCCATGATATCTGGACTCTGGGTGCTTGCGACACATGATGGGAAGAAAGCATATGTTCCAAAACCTGGAACTTAAGTCAAGTGGCTTTGTGGGTTTCAGAGGTGCTCAGAAAGGGAAGATCATAGGCTCCAGAACAGTAGGTAATGGTAATATCCCTTCTATTACTAATGTTTTACTTGTTGAAGGATTAATTCATAATATGTTGTCCATAAGTCAATCAAGTGACAATGGTTATGACATTATCTTTAATCAAAATTCTTGTAAAGCTGTCAGTGAGAAGGATGGATTTGTTTTGTTCAATGTTAAGTGACCCATGTTTGTTAATGAAGAGCAATGGGTATGGCATAGACGATCGGGCCATGTTAGCATGAGAAAGATTTCTCAGCTAAATAAGTTTGACTTAGTCAGAGGCCTTCCTAAGCTGAAGTTCTATTTAGATGCTCTTTGTGAAGCATGTAAAAAATGAAAGTGTTGTATCCCAAAATTTTCCCTCCCATTTTCTTCAAGATATTCTCATGAGGTCCCCATTTGCTCAAAACTACTCAAGAGTTTACTAGTCAAAACCACCTCCTAAGCAAGGATCTACCACTAGGGTTTTGTTGCTTCTCAAGGAAGATTAGGATGAAATGTTCTCAAATGACTTTCATGGTTTATCATAGTTCCTCAATAATGATTATGTCATGTTTCAAGTCTTGTATCACATGTTTGCTCAGTTAATGACTCAGAAGATTGAAAGTTAACTATATGGGGTAAAAAGTCAACCATAGACAACATATAGTCAAACTTCAAGATTTTTTTTGTCAACATCAATATTTTGAGGTGATATTAATGATTTGATCAAGGGTTGATCATGATTCCTCAAGGAAAGCCCTCA